TAATGATTAGCGTCAAATCCCTGCATTCACATCGTACATTTTCCGATTCCGAATCGCTGTCCTTTTTAATCTAGTTTCCGACCTCGTGAAATAGCGCTTACCTGTGGCTGCTCTCAGAGTCGTGAAGTGAAACTGAAGTGCCGCCGGCTCCTGCTATATGACCCGCAGGCGCTGCATCTTATATACACCGTCCTCTGCTTTTCCTGCTCTTCCGACAACCATTAAGGAATGTCCGTGCATTCGAATGGAATTCCTCCCGATCCTCGTCCATATTTGGGTGTCGGTGGGTCGAGCGGAGGGGCTCCGCGTCTGCGCCGCGCCGCGCTCCGGGCTCCATATATGGCGTCCCAGACCCCGATCCACAGCGGGCGGGCGCAGCGCCGTGTAAGGCGAGTCCAGGGCCACCATACGAGTGCACACAGAGTCCAACACTGACCGTTTGTTGACTATATCTCAATATAAGGGCATGACAGTGGGTTATGATTGTTTATCATTACATTTTACCATTGATCAAATGAAAATAAATTAAAGGTGTAATATAAGATGCTTTGTATAAATGTAAATAGCTTCTTTTTCTTTGGTGGGATATTGATTCTCATCTAATTCTTTTAATCTCAGACATACTTTAAAGGATGACAGCAAACCAGGAATTATAAAATGTTAATTTTTGGAGTGTATCATAGGGTGAAATCAGGTAAATTGGGCTGTTTTTTGAAAGTCATGCAAATAGTGGCTTCGTTTGCACGAACTGACCAATATAAAGCCTGTAAACATGGGATTTCTGAAATAAATGAGTGATTTAGTCAGTCTATGACACTGGGATAACAGCATTCATTTCAGCTTCTTCCTTTCCCATAGAAAGCCACAGAAGCAGAAGTTTCATTCCCGAAACTGGATAAAGGGGAGGAGAATCTTGGAAAAACATCTTGGAAAATATTTTATTTGAGTCTGATGTTTAGCTGAACAATGCGGTCACCATATTAAGCCCTTAAAATACTATCACCATCAAAAGAAGGATGGTAACGTATTTTCTTAAGCTTGTTCATCAGCTGCCATTATGTAATAATTGTAAAGATGTGTTGTGAAATCATGGTAAAAGTATCACCAATGACCAATGTTATCAAAATAGCCACTCAGCAACCCTCTCTGCCTTTCTGAGAACAGGATATTATAACGATGTTTTACCTTCTTTTACTTGGAGATGGTTATTAAATTAGACAGTCATTAGACGACTATTAGACAAGCATAACCCTGTGGGCATTTCAATGATATTTGATGCCAAGCCTAATGCCACACCATAAACAAGTATCATATTTCCTCCTCGAGTTCCAGACAGTTTATGTAGTGTCTTTAGGGATTCCAGAGGCTCCCACCCCATATAGGGTGTCAGAGAACCCCCCTAAAGTGCAGCTTATTTACTGCGGACGCCACTAATTTTACCCTCTCTTCCCTATTTTTAGGAGCTCAGGGGAGACAGTTGCTTCTCCATCAGTTCAGCTGCTCTTTTCACACCAGCTGCTGGAGGACGGAGTGGGAGCGACAGATGAGAGGAAGGAGTGCAAGAAAACAAAGACGTTTTCAAATAGAGCCTTGCACATACAGTGGTCCCAAAGGGTTTAGACACTCAGTAGTGTCAGTACTACTGCGTTAGATATCTAACCGAGTGGCATCTGCAAGCAAATGCAGCTTAAACTTTTCTGAACCATTCGTGCATGATTTTAAACTTGATAAACTAGTGTAATGACAAACACAAATGAGCGTCATTCTGAACATTGTATCTGTAGTTTTATCTTTTTGTGAAACGTTTTGCTCTAAAAGTGTGCATGACATGTCCATAAAATGGTCACTTAAATGCTGCTCAAAATTCAATGTAAAGACGCAATGTTGCATAAAATCCACTTATATTTGCCTGCTCTCACCCACCTCTAGTATCAAAGCATACGGTTGTAATTATTATATAAATGCATTTATGCCACTTCAGAAGCACTTCTGTGCCACCTTTGCAGAGTAATTTTGGCATTACATTGATGTTTTGTTATCTTATGCAATGACGTTCAGACCTCTGGAGTGTGGCCTAAGAATCCAAATACATTTGGGTTCACTATCTTTAAGAAAACACCATAAAACCCAGCTAACGTCACCACGTGATTAACACTATTTGTCTTTGTTATTCAATCTTTGTCTTGCAGCAGAAGAATACCATCACTGAACTGTCTGTCGTCAATTACAGAAATACAGTTTATTCAGAAAATTCAAGCGTTGGTTCATGTAATTATTATTATATATATTTTTTGAAACGGTACAAAAAAAAGTTGGAATATTAACAAGGAAACAGTAAGCAGAAACAGTAAGTAATGTCAAATCTGAGCTTTCTGGTAGTGCTCATAATTGGCTCGCAGGAGGAACTCAAAGTACGGTTTTGATTTGAGACTCTCCAGCTCGTCTTCCTGCAGAAGATCCTTCACGTCAGGCAGGTACGACTGCAGAGAAACACCTGTGTGCACAAACACAAAACACACTCTGGCTGAATATGCAGATTTTGTATTGTAACTACATGTCCTGGAGTAGGGTTGTCCAAGCTTTGGATGTAAGATACTATATTGTATACTTCATACCTGCTAAAATCAAGTCTCTAATAAGCCCTAAACTACTCTGAAACCTCAAGACAAACTTCTAGAACAACTGTGAGTGTGTGATTAGCAGAAAAGAGAGTCACTGCACCTTCCTGGATGAGTTTCAGTAGGATCTTGATGAAAGTGCTGTCTCTGGCTGCTTCTAGAGGATCGTCATTATCATCAGACGATGACCAACTGCAACCAGTCAGTCAATGGAAGACCATTATAGTCATGTAAAATGAAACATCCATCCACACTAATCTCATTTGAGTGAGTTTTGTGATGCTCACCTCTCCTTCCAGTCTTTCTTTAAGGCTTTACTGAAGATCTCTCGTTTTAGGGCATCGAGATCAACCCTATCCTCCTACAGGCGATGAATACATATTAGAAACACATGTGTTTGGAAAAGTAGCTTTTTGATGTTTTTAACGTAGCCTTTTATTTATATAGATACCTCCTCCAAGTACTCCAGCAGATCGAGAGCTTTCTTGAAGTCGTACTCGTTGGCTCCACGGTTCTCCTCGCAGATGTACAGCTGGACACAAGGAAAAGAGATACAAAGCATGAGAAATGAGGATGAAGAAGTCTGAAGGAATTAAAAACTGCTGCCAAATGCACGTGACAGCAGTATTTTTGTAGTTTACTCACATTAATGAGGTTACGAGGGCTCAGTAGAGGCATGCTGTCTGGGTTCAGCTGCTTCTCGTCCAGCAGCTGTTTAGGAAGAGTCTCCTGATGAAGCAGAAACCTCTCCTGTTCCACTATATCTACACCAACACACACCGGACAACAGCAATTATGTTTCAAAAAATTTCATATGGCATAAACTGATCAAATATTTAGAGGCTCAAGAGTTAATTTGGGGAGGAAGAGAGGGAAATGCAGGTCAGATTTGAACCCATGAGCACCACAGGTTGAGCATAAACTCCCATTATTCTCTGTGTCTACACAATGATAAAATACAAAGCATGCATCATTTGCTCCTTCTTCTGTTGATGATGAATTGTCTAAAAATGCTTGGTGGGACATGACAGAGAAAAAGTAAGAAAATAATAAAAATATGAAATCCATTTTATTTGGACTAAAACAGATTTTAAGACAAATCAAATAGTCGTCATGACTTTCAAACTCATATGAAGGCACATGACTGACCGTTGAGCTGTCTGCGGTGCACGGCTTCAGGCATGTCTGACGCCAGAGCCGTGAGTTTGCTGAGGGCCAGCAGGGTCTTCTTCTTGCTGAAGTATCGTGTCTCCATGTTGGCCTGACTGTACAGGGTACGATGGGCCTGTCGTGAAAAGAACAAAGCATTTATAACACTACAAGTGTCAGTAACCTCGTGGTGTGCACTTTAGCGTATATATAAAAAAATACAAATTAAATATGTATTTATTTTTTTCTCTTACTCTCTGATAGTCTTGCACATGTATGTCATGCAGCCAGCTGAGGTGATCGTGAGCCTGCAGGAAACTGGCCAGCTGCTGGTGCGTTGCTATTGGCTGAGACAGCAGCTTCCCTCTCTTGCCTTTCTCCATGTACCAGCGGAACAGGAAGTCAGCGAAGTTCTACAGGAAACACAGAGGGCTGTGAGTAAATGCATTCGGCACAGGCACTGTAACTGTGATTTCAGTATGTTTTTCTTAGAGCTGTATTCCAAGAATTTCAAAGTGTCCGTGTGCAATGCTCTTTAATTTAACAAAACATTTCTATAAATACTGAAATATTGTCTACTAGCCAAAAGCTACTTCAAACTACACTATTCAGAAGCATCTACTGATAATATAGTAGCGGTTAAAAGTTTGGGATCGCGAAGATTTTTAAAAATGTTTGTGAAAGAAGCCTCTTATGCTCATCATGGCTGCATTTATTTGATCAAAACGAATAAAAATTTTTTTTTGTGAAATATTAAAAGAACCGTTTTCTATGCGAATATATTGTAAACTGTAATTTATCTCTGTGATCAAAGCTGAATTTTCAGCATCATTACGCCAGTCTTCA